GGGCTAGCACTCCTCTCACTCTGTGCCGCCTGGCCCTTCTGAAGCGGGTGCGAACCAGGTTCATTCTTGCCCAAGCCTTCTTTTTGCGTGCGTGAAACGTCCGTCGTAGTGTGCATGCACGGCTGCCCATGTCGATGCCGAGGTCGCGCCCTTCGGTGCTGCCGTCGATGTGAATGTTGAGGTCCGCTAGTCGTTTGATGATCTCTTTGGTGTCCTTCATGTGCGTCGTGATGAAGACCGACTTTGCCGCAACCTCAAGTCCTTGCTGTTGTAGTGCTTCGTGTAGCGTCTTTGCCGAGTCGGCGGCGTCTCGCACCAGGGTATCCTTGGAACCGCGCAGCTGGACACCGATGTCGTCGAACCATGTTCTAGGCTGAGTCTTCGTGATTTTGCTGCTGTACTGTCGCAGGACGACGTATATCAATGCCCGCGCGAGGTTGTTCGAGCGCCTGGCCCTGCCAAAATGGAGCGGATTGCATACATCGGCTCGCTGTAGCAGCCATTGAGGCGCAGGAATCGCACCGAGAGGTGCATCTGCATGGAAAGTGCGAGGATCCTGCTAGGGAGTCCGAGTTGGTTTGCGGCCATGGCGATCTTGCAGAAATTGAGCGAGTCGTAGAACCTCTTGATGTCGAGAAGCGTCGTCGTTGCCCGAATGCTGTAGGCGTCCGCGATCTCGTCTCCTAGGGCTCGCAGCGCGGCTTCTCGCAGGCAGCTGTTGCCCGCGACCGCTGCATCCCATGGTTCCTCTATCTTTTTAGCACACAGTCGTACCCTGCCCCAGTGCATGAGCTCCCAGGTTCGGCAGATCCAAAGCAGAAGCGTCAGTGCGCGGTCGCCGCCGTCGGCGAGTGCGCTTGCTCCTTTGGCGGTGGCTGGTTTGGGCTGGGCCATGGCTATGGCCTGGAGTGCTTGCCACGGCCATGTCACGTCTCGGTCGATGGTGTTCAGTAGCTGGGTTATCTCGTCTCTGCCTGCTGCTGGTAGTCGTCGTGCGTCGCTGGTGTTGAGTCGGTCCGTACCTCGTCCCTTGTCAGGTATGCCGACGATGGCCTCGTCGAAGTGCTCCCTGCTCCATGTGGTGGATGGGGTCGTCAGGGCTTGTTCCCGTAGATCCTTGAGCAGCTGAGTGTGGGCGATGTGGTCGCCGTGGGCGTCGCTCCAGATGTTGCTGAACGTCGTGCGCTTGAGGTTTGCACGCTCAATTGTGGAGGTCGCTGTCACGATGCCGTCAATCATTTCGCCCTCATGCCGCATGCTGGGTTTCGTTATCTTGCGCGTGGTGCCGTTGTCGCAGCTGTTGGCTAGCCAAGTCGCGTAGTCGCGCGCGTTGCATCTCAAGTCACGCCTGATCGCTTGGATCGCTTCCTGTGCTGCCTGCGTAACCATGCCTTCGATGGTGTCGGTAGGTACGTCCTGGATGTTGGTGAGTCGGTCTTTCCAAAGTGCTCGGTGCAATCTCGCGGTGTGTGTTGATTTGGCTCCTGCTGATGGTACTCCGTCATGTGCCAGGTGTCGACAACACGCTTCCAGGGCGTGCACCTCTTCGTGTCCGACTCCTCGCTGTCTTAAACGGTGTAGCGCCGTGAGGGAGGATTCAGCGCGAGCCCACCAGTTGGCCGTGCATGTGGCATACCTTGGTCGACGTATCCCGCGTTCTTTTTGTATGCATTGTTTGAGCTGGTAAGGCTGTCCTCTTCCTCTGTAGCGCTTCTGCTCGCTCTCGTGAATCTTGCATGCCTTGCAATATAAGTTCTCCATGAGCTGCGTGAGCGTGTGGAAGATGTGGCTGGCTTCGTGGTGATCATCTTGGATTGCATGGTATGCTGCGCTGTCCGTGATGTATGCTGGTGCTGCAGTAGCAGTAGTGGTGCCGTGGTCGTACCCGGTCTCGCACCAGAGCTCATGCATGGTCCTGGTGTCGGCGTCGGGTGCTTGTGCTGGTAGTTGCTTCGGCTCGTCCTTCTTGCTCAAGAAGAAATTATCGAGCTCGCTGTCGTTGTCACTCTCTGCTTCGATGGGTGCGCCTTCGGCTCTCTCCTGACCGCGTGGTGGGCCTTCTCCGCCCATGCCGTCGCCCATGAGGTCGGCGTTTATTTCGTCGAAGTCCATGGGGTCGAAGTCCTCGTCCATTGTAGTTCTGGGTCTCGAGCCTGCTGCTGTCGTTGCTGGCGCGCTTGGATGTCTTGTCCAACCATTCGGTGACAGCGCCCCCCCATCTTTGGTTCATGAAAGCGTCGTCGTCGAAATTGTCGTCTTGTGTGGTGTTGTTCTCGCAGCTGTTGCTGTCGTCTTGCGTGCTGGTGTGCGGCTTCTTTACATGCTCTGCTCGCTGCCGTTGTCGCTTACTTTGAGGGTCTGGTGGTTGCTGTGGTAGACGCGGGTGCCGGAATGGATGCGGCATGGTCAGCTGCCGAGTGAGGTTCGTCATGGCCTCGCCCTTCAGCGCGATGACCTGGCCGACGCGCGGTCCCCATGGGACGTCGCTGACTGGTCTCAATGAGTGCATATGTTGTCGAGCCGAAAGGCTGACCACAAGGTAGTCTATGAGCGATGGCGTCGCGTCCTTCTTGAAGCACGTGGCCGCCTGATCGCCGATGGAGAGGATGTTGCCTCCTAGCGCTTCTGGCCATCCTGAGGCGTTGAACGTCGATGGCGCGACGTTGAAGTCGCCTGCCAAGGTCCAAGGAAGATTCCGTATACGCAGAAACTGTCCGATCTCCTTCAACCTGTCCGCGTTGGTGCCTGACTTGAGGGGCTGCTTGGTCTCCAAGTAGACGCTGATGACGACAATGGAGTAGCCCTTCATGTGCCTGAGCATCGGGATCCAGTCCGTGAAGTTGAGGAGCTCGGCCCTGGCGAGAGGTGATGCGCCTGCCGTCGAGGACGACGCGCTGCCCTTCACCGCCATCTCGCGGACAAACTTGGTTCTGAAATTGTTTTTCACCATTGCAATCACCCCGCCATGGGGACCCTTCCCCGATGCGCTCGACTGCCGCGATGCTGAAAAACAAGCCTCGAGCCCCAGTGTTGCGAGAGTTGCCTCGGCATGTTGGAGCTCGCGGTGCTTGAGGTGCGTTTCCTGTAACAAGTAGCCGTCGTACAGAGCCCGTCCGCTGGGTCGGCGCGCTAGTAGACCACCCCGTAGCCACTTAGTTACTTTTGGCCCCCATGTAGCGGCACTGCCAACAAATATTGTGCGCTGCTCTGGGGTGGCCGAGCGGATGGCTGTCATGCCACCCCGCAGTCGTCTCTAGTTGGGTACTGCAGCAGGCAACTTCCCCTCGCGGATCTGTCGGAGGAGCTCATCGCGCTGCTCTGGTGTTGTAGGGGTCCCCATCAGCTGGCGTCGGCGCTGGCGTACTTGGTGGTGCGCTCGCCGAAGCTGCTGAAGATGCGGCTGTCTGCTGCTGCTGCTGCTGCTGCTGCTGGTCCGTGGTCTTGCGCTTCTTGGCTTCCCCGAGCCTCGTCGCATCGGCCACGGCCTTCGCCTTGACCTCGTCAACGCGTGCCTTGATCTGACCCGCGCAGTTCTGCGCCCCCGCCTGCAGGTCTCTGATGGCTGCCTGCTTGGCCGCCAAGATCTCTGTCTTCAGCTCCTCGTCCTCGTCGCCCTGCAGCACGTCCTCCATGTCCAGATCGATGACCCCGTTCTGCTGCAGCTCGTGCTCGGAAGAGTTCAGGAGCTGCTCCATGAGGCTCTTCGGCTTGTTCTCCATCATGATCTCGTTCAGGTTGGCCTTCGCCTGCTCGAGCGCTTTGCCCTTCTCGATCATGTCCTCGTACGCCTTCGCGACGAGTCCTTGCAGTCTACTGTGCTCGTCGCAGGCCTTGTGGAACTCGTTGTAGGCCACCTCCTGCGCCCTCGCCGCTGCCGCACATCGTAGCTCAGCAGGTTGCTGAGGACGAAGTGGTTGCAGCGTTTGGGCGAGCGTCGTCAGCTGTGCCCCCAGCGCTGTCACCGCTGCGCTGGCACCCAATCCCATCTGTTGGAGGTGTTGACCCAGCGTCGTCATCATCTTGGTCATCTCCTGCGACTGCTGGTTGCTGCTGCTGCTGCTGCTGGCGTCGCCGCTCTGCTGGCGCTCCTGCTCTTTGACGTAGTTCGGTTTTTACCTAACAGCGAAGACTGATAGGTTTCTAGTGGTCTCAAAAGAGAGCAGCAGATGACTCCACAGGGGGGTCGGGGCGGGACCCGGGGCGGCGCCGCCGATCCCCAAATCGCCTTGGACATCCTCGCAAAATCGCTTTTGGCGCTCCCAGAACTCCATTCCCGGGCCACATTTTGAATGCACGCAGCCAACTGTAGGCCACTTCGTGCTCTTCGACTTCCCAGAACTCCATTCCCGGGCCACATTTTGGATGCCCGGAGCCAACTGTAGGCCACTTCGTGGTCTTCGAGTTCCCAGAACACCACTCCCGGGCCACATTTTGAATGCCCGGAGCCAACTGTAGGCCACTTCGTGCTCTTCGACTTCCCAAAACTCCATTCCCGGGCATGATTTTGAATGCCCGGAGCCAAGTGTAGGCCACTTCATGTTCTTCGACTTCCCAGAACTACATTTCCGGGCCACATTTTGAATGCTGAGGCAGGCTGATGCTGAGGCTGAGGCAGGCTGAGGATGAGGCAGGCTGAGGCTGAGGCCGAGGCTGAAGGCAGACTGAGGCTGAGGCTGAAGCAGGCTGAGGCTAAGGTTGAGGCAGGCTGAGGCTGAGGCCGAGGCAGGCTGATGCTGAGGCTGGCTCAGGCTGAGGCTGAGGCTGATGCAGGCTGAGGCTGAGGCAGCCTGAGGCTGACGCCGAGGCTGAAGGCAGACTGAGGCTGAGGCTGAGGCTGAAGCAGGCTGAGGCTGAGGCTGAGGCAGGCTGAGGCTGAGACAGGCTGAGGCTGAGGCTGAGGCAGGCCGAGGCTGAGGCTGTGACTGTGGCTGCCGTGGCCACTGCGACTGTCATCGCGAATGCGACTACGACTGCGAGAACAGCAGAATTCTACAACTGGATTCTCATCTAAATCTTAAGGGGAATGCTTCCAGATATGCTCCTACACATCGCTGTTAGGTTGCTTTGCCGGGATAATTTGACCAGCTCGTTGCAGCGCCAGCATTTCCATCCGTTCTTGGCCAACGTGCTGTCGTAGGTGCACTTGTTGCAGCTGCGGCACACCGTGTACTGTGCGCCTCCTCGTCGAGCCATGCTTGCTGTGGCTGACGGCGGGCTGCTGCCGTGGTGCTTCTTCAACTTGTCCAGGTCGCCTGCCGCTCGCAGGCGGCGCCGCGCCGTGGCGCGCTGGCGCCGCTCTCTGCGGTGCCACGCGGGCGAGGGAGGCCGCCCCTGGCCTCCTCGGCGGCCCTCCGTGGGCCTGGGGCCCCCGTATGGCGCGGGCCGCCGCCGCGCGCCGCCGCCGGGCAAAATGCTGCGCGGGGGCGGGCGGGGCCACGCCAGGGAGCCACCTGGGGAGGAAAGGAGGAGGGAGGGAGGAGGAGGAGGAGGAGGAGGAGGCGGAAAAGGAAGAGGAGGAGGACGAGGACGAGGAGGAGGAGGAGAAAAGGGCCTCCAATCCAGCGTAAAACGGGAGGAAGTCTCGGGCGGGAGCGCTGGTTTTGTTGGGACGGGGGCTGTCGGCGGCGAGCAATAGCACCGCCTTGAATCCGCCGACCCCTTGGGGTCATCGGCGTGTGAGATGCTTCCCCCCTCCCCAAACCCCTCCCCCCGGAGCCTGGTCCGGTCGTTTTGGAGGGGGGGGGGGGGGGGTCCGGCCGGATTCCCCGGGATCCGCCGGCGCGGTCCGGGGGGGGTCATCCGCTCCAGAGAGTCTGCTGGGGGGGCCGCAAACGAGCGAAGAGGCTCCCAAGAAGCTCTGCAGACGGTCCAAGAGGGCCCCGAGTCGCCGAAAAAACACTCGAAGACGGTCAAGATGGCCTCCAGATGGCCCCAGATGCCTCCAAGACGCCCCAAGAAGCTTCCAAGACGCCTCCCAAGATGGCCCCAAGAGGCCAAAATCGTCGATTTCCATTGGTTTTTTCAACGTTTTTGGCCTTCGCGTTTTTTCGGGCTTCCGACGCTCCAAGACGGCGAAAGAAGCCCCCAAGACGGCATCAAGACGACCCGAGAGGCTCCCAAGTGGGCCCCAACACGGCCCAAGAGCGCCTCAAAACGGCTCAAGAGGGCCTTCAGACAGTCCAAGAGGGCCCACAGAGGGGCCCAAGAAAGGCTCCAGACGGGGACCACGAACCTAAAATTCTAGCCTTCCGCCCCAAAAGGCGCCAAGGAGGCCCCAAGAGGCCTCCAAGAGGCTCCAAGAAGCCCCCAAGAGGCCCCCAACAAGCCCAAAAAAAGCCCCAAGCTGCCCCAAAACAGCTCCCCAGAAGCCTCCAAACTGCCTCCCGCAGGCCCCCGAGAGGATTCTCACGACGACGGCGCCAGAGGCTCCCACAACGGTCAACGAAGCCCCCAAGATGGCCCCAAAAAGGTGCCCAGCCTACGCCGTCGAGTCTGTCGCCGCCATTGTCGTCCTCGTCGTGTTCTCCTGCTCCTTCTCATCCTCCTCTTCCGCCCCCTCCTCCCGTCTCCCCTCTCAGCTTTCTGTCTCGTATTCCCTCCACTGGCTCACTTTTCACCTTCTCCGCCTTTGGCTGCTCCCCCATCCTCCCTCCTCCACGTCCCCCTTATCCATCCCGTCCCCAGCGGTCAGATTCCTCGCAACTTCCGTGCCTTGTCGCAATGCTCGTCACTTGGTTCCGCCGGGCGTTTCGGAGGGTCTCTCCGCGGCGCTCGTCCCGCTTTAAAACACTTCGCGCACACAACTGGGTTGTTTCGCTTGAAATAATTCTTCTTCTGGTCTTTCGACAAATGGCCCCCGTCTGAAAACGCTGGTTTCTTCCCGTCCCCGTTCGGTGGGCACGCGGAGCATTCAAACTTTTTCGCCCCCGTGCGCGCATCGTGACACGCGCGGCACACGACTGGGCGATGCGCCTGGCCCGTCTTCCTATATAGCAAGGGCCCTGACAGTGGCCCCCGAGACGGCCAGCAAAAAGCCTTGGAAACTCCCCCAAGAGGCCCCTGAGAAGCCCAAGAGAAGCCCCCAAATGGTCCCCAAGAGGCCCCAGAAAGCCTCACCAGTGGACGTGTTCCCTCTTCTGGGGGTCGGCGGACTGGCGTAAGCCTCTTGAATAAAAAAGGGAGGAAGTCTCGAGCGGGAACGTTGTTGTTGCTGGGAAACGGCGCCGATGAGAGAAAAAGCAGCGCGCCTGTCCAAGGTAAATCGAGAGGAAGTCTCGAGCGGGAGCGCTGGTTTTGTTGAGACGGCTGCTTTCGGCGGCGAGCAAGAGCACCAGCCCTGAGAAAAAAAAGAGGAAGGCTCGAACGGGAGCGTTGTCATTGTTGGGGGGCCGGTTTTGGCGGCCCCCCAAACCGCTCGAGGGCGAGCCTCATTTTCAATGAAAATGCCGCCCGCGCCTCGGCGAGAGAGCCAGGGCGCCTGTAAGGGGTCCAATAATAATAATAATAATTGTTTAGTAGTTAACATTCAACAACAGCAATACACATATATCGTTATCGCCCTCTCTCTCTCTCTCTCTCTTTCTCTCCCTCTCTTTCCCGCCCACTCTCGAACCTCGGCTCGAGGACCCCCAGCCCAGAGCGCAGCCAGGACACGAAGCGCCCAGCACTTCTGTTGCGCGCACCGCGACCGGACACACGCTACACCAGCATGCGGCTAGCGCGCGTCGCTCCGCCTGCCCACTCTTGCGCGCCGCCGCGCAGTGCGCCGCCGCCGCGGTCTCGACCGGAACGGTGACCACCGCGCAGACAACCACTTCGGCGCACCGACGTGCCCGACGACGGAGCGAGGCTGCGCCGCTGCCTCCTCGACGCGCCTCGCGCCCCCCACCTCGGCTGCCACGTCCAGCGCTTCGCCTCCCACTACTTCGCCGCGGCAGATGCACTCTTCAAGTACCAGCTCTAGACGGCCAGCTTCTCCTTGACCCATCCGCACACGACCCCCCCGATCGCCCGACCCCAGCACGCGGGCTCGCGACACCCCGAATCGATATACGCGGCTTTCGCGATGCTCTTCGCGCCCCTCGTGCCGAGATCCCAATTGCGCCCCCCCCCCCCCGCGGTGCTCTATTTCTTCGCAGTGCTCTCCAGGAATCAGCGCGGCGACCATCGACGCGCCCCACGAATCGTTCGCGGCGCTTTTCACGCTGCAACTCCCCGGCCGGCCGGTCGCGGAGGACAGCGGGCCCAAACTGCAGCTGGCCAGCTAGCCCCCGCTCGCGACCACGTCGACAAGCGCCCGCCGACCGCCACTGGAACTGCCCATGGCCACCAGGCAAAGCTGCACCCAGTCCCGTCGTCGTAGCTAACGGCGACCCCCCCTCCGAGAGTCCGCCGACCGACCACCCCTGGCGCGAGCCAGAGGGGCCAGGAGATCCACGCCGCAGCCAGCCGCCCCGCCGCGGCCCATCGCGACCCTCCCGCCGAGTCGGCAGACCGCAACTGGCACTGCCCAGAGTGGCCGCCAAGCTAAAACTCCAGCCAATCCTGCTGGAGACCAACGCGACCCTCCTTCTGGGCGCCCGCTGACTCCCATGGGCATCGGCCACGGGGGCCGCTGGGCCCGCGCTGCACTCCTCCTGTCGCAGCCCCTCGCGACTCCTCCGAGCGCCCGTCGACGACCACGGGGGGTTCCCAGACGGGCCACCAAGCCAAAGCCGCAGTCTGTCCCACCATCGCGGCCCCCCAACGCCCACTGGCACCACTGGGGCCACCGAGCTCATTCCGCCATCAGCCGCGTCTGCCGACCGAATCTGGCGGCGGACCAAGTGGCCACGAGGCCCCCACGTCGTCACCCATGTCGCAGCCCCGCGCGGCCCCCCCTGCGAGCGCCCGCCGACTCCCATGGGCATCAGCCATGGGGGCCACCGGGCCCATGCTGCACTCTTCCCTCCAGTCGCCGCCCCCCGCGCCTCCTTCTCCGAGCGCCCGACGACCGCCGCCAGAGATTCCCGGACGGGCCACCAGCCTGCCTTCGAGCAGCAGATCGCGATACGCCCCATCGATCGTCCGCCGACTGCCAACGGGGCCCACGACGCCCGACGACCGCCAGGCGACCGCCCGACGCCTCCTTCGACGCCGCCGACCCGACCGACGACCGCAAGCTGGCCGTTCGCCGGCCGCCCGCCCCACAACGGTGTCCGTCCGCTGACCGTCGCCGACCGCCCGCCGACCGTCGACGACCGCCCACCGGGCGTCAGCCCCCCGACCCCCGACGACCGACCGCCCGCTGTCTCCGACGCCCGACCGGCGCCCGACAACCGCCCGCTGCCGACCGACCGACGCTCACCTCCACGCAGCGCCAGCCGCCACGATGCACCCCGACAGGACCTGACCTGCAGGCACGTTGCAACCACCTCGGGCCATCTCCGCCTCTCCAGCCACGCGGGGCACCTGCGTCGACACCTCTGGTCCCTTTCCAAACGAGCACGCGAGCGGACCGATAGCCTACCCGCCGACTCCTGGAGTACCATCTCGGGCTAACTACTGCGCATTCCCGCGCGGGCCCTCGATGGGCGGCACCACCGCGGCCCCCAGGCGCGGACGTCGCCCGCGTCCGCGCGGTGGCCCTCCAGCTGGCCACCTGGGCCCCGCCGCGAGCGCCCCCCCACTGTTCGCGCCGCGCCGCGCCGACGGTCGCGCCGAGGCACCCCCCACAGATGCCGGGCCCGCGGCGCGCTCGGCCGCCCTCAGAGCTGCGCGCGCCAGGGCCCACCACGGCCTACGCTCCCAAACAGGGCCGACGCCCCACCCGCCGACACTGGCCTCGCCCATGAAGGCACCAAGGTGGCGGTCATAAACCAAGCGCGCAAACCCATCAACTGCCACCACGGCAGTGTCATCGGCCGCGCGGGAGATCAAATCCAACACAAGCTGGCCCTTCGACCAATGGCAACACTGCCCACTCGCGCACGCCCAGCTCGATTGCATTCTCCCCTGGGGGGAGAAGCCCTCCGAGCAGGCCGAGGCGGCGGACGGCGCACCTGCGCCAATGCCAGCGCCCGAGCCAGCGCGCCCACGCGCCCCGCGACAGCACCTGCACGCGAGGCCCCTCCTCGCGCACGCCGTAGAAGCTCGCGACCACCCGAGCTGCGCGCCCCGCGCTTCGATATCGGCTGCGGCGCCACCACCGCCAGCTTCCCGCGCCCTGCCGCGGCCCGACAAATCAGACGGCACCCTGCCCCGCGCGGCGGCGCCCCGACCCGACCGACAACGCCCGGCCGCGCCGAGCCGCTCCTGCTAGGCCTATATGCGGGTGCCGATCCCCCGAAGCC